CATATGCAACAAACACAAACGCTTCTTTTGTACCGCCGCTTCCTGCGGTCACGATATGATAATATTAACTGAAACGTGGCTCAGAAATGATATTTATGATGCTGAATTTTTTGACGATTCATATTCTGTTTTTCGTAAGGATAGACTTTTTCAACGCGGCCTTGGTGTACTAATTGCAACCAAAAATGACAAATTCGCCAGTGAAGAGATAAAAATCGCCGGTGCAGTTAAGGCCTGTGAATTTGTGGACAAACCAAAACCTCCCTCGTCCACCAGTGCACCACATGCAAATTCAAACCGGCAGTCAAAAAACGGGATGCCCTCAAATGGCAACACAAACAGAGTCAGAAACCATCCTCAGCCAATGTACGCTTATACACAGGCACCGACGACACCGAATGTGAACCATTGGTTCAATCCATTTGCTCAGCGCCCAAGTCTCTACCGCGCAGCAAACTCCGAGCAACAGCAAAACCGTTTCGTCCATCGCGTGGACAACAGACGATTCTGTTAAACCCCAAGCTGCACACACCCGACGCGATACGCATCATTGTCTACTACCAAAACATTCGCAGCTTGGGTAACAAACAGGATGAATTTTTCCACAAATGTGCTGCTTTCGGTTTTGACATAGTCATCTTGACTGAAACCTGGCTCAAACATAGCCAACGTAATGCCGAATTCTTTAATAGCACTTACGACGTCTACCGCAAAGACAGATCATTTAGACGAGGTGGAGGTGTTCTCATTGCGCTCAACAATGAAATCTTCTCTACTGAAGAAATTAAATTCGACAAAGTGGACATTGAGCACGTATGCATTAAAGCGAGCTTGCCAACACACAACATTTTTATTTACAATGCATACATTCCACCGAACTCACCCAACGAAATCTACGCTTTGCATCGTTCAGCCATTGAATCACTCACGACAAATGCCGATGACGTTGTGATAGTTGTTGGTGACTTTAATCTGACAAACGTTGAGTGGATAAATGACGATGAGGATAGCAATGTGCTTGTTCCCTCCAATTTCCACTCCCAATGTGCTGCTGATTTCATTACCGGCCTGATGGGCCTGGGCCTCCAGCAAATCAATTCAATAAGAAATCGGAACCTCAAACTGTTGGACCTATTTTTCACTAACGACCATGCCAACACAACAGTGAGCGATGCTACTAAACTTTCATTGACGGATAAAATCGACATTCACCACCCTCCTTTGTTGATTGAATTTGAATGGCATCCGATTAACAATGGTTCAGAAAACCAGAATAACACGCATTTCAATTTCAAACGGGCTGATTTTCAGCGCATGAACGAATATTTTGCTGCCGTCAATTTCGATGACTTATTCGCAAACAAATCACTTGCGGAGAAGGTGTGATCCCTTCATGACGTGCTAGCGGAAGCTATTCAGTGTAAGGTTCCAACGTATGTCCGCAAGAACAACCAAAAATGCCCATGGAAGAACAAAGAACTTCGACACCTCAAGAACTTAAGGAAAAAAGCATGGGATTACTGGAAGCTGACCAATGATAGGCAGCCATTTGAAAAATTGCACGAGGAATTCAGTGCAAAAAACACTGAACTATACAATCAGTACGTCGACAAAATGAAATCAAACTTGAAAAGTGATCCTTCTTCGTTTTGGCAATATGTTAACTCTAAGAAGAGCACTGATAACATTTCAAAAACCATGCGATTCTGTGACACCAAGACATCCAGCGAATCAGAGCAAGCAAATTTATTTGCGGACTTCTTCGGGAGCAATTACTCCACATCAACGACACCAAATAATCAACCGTCACCTCAGTCTGAGAACACCTCTTGTTTCCAGCTTGACCTTGATTTTGTCATGACTGAAATGACGAAGGTCAATACCAAGAAAAGTGTTGGACCTGACGGTATTCATCCTTTGATTTTAAAGGAGTGTGCTCCGACGCTTGCTAGTCCGTTGACTAAGATCTTCAATGAGTCGCTTTCATCTGGCATTTTTCCCGACGAATGGAAACGATCGAGTGTATCGTGTATATTGAAAACTACAGGTGCATAGCAAAATTACCAACAATCGCTAAATTCTTCGAGCACCTCGTCAACGTAAATTTGCTTGAAATTGTTCGTGATCGCATCTCTCCTAATCAACATGGCTTTATGAAAGGACGATCTACTGCATCAAACCTTACCGAGTTTGTGTACTACGCCCAGAGTGGCCTTAACATTGGAGCTCAAGTTGATGTTCTGTACACGGACTTTACGAAAGCCTTCGATCGAGTTGATCACAAAATTTTGATTGAAAAATTGAAGTCATTCAATCTACCTCAAAACTTGCTGGCATGGCTTAAGTCGTACCTTGAAAAGCGTATTCAATTTGTCAAGCACGGAGCAAGTGAGTCGAACGATTTTACAGCGTCGTCGGGTGTCCCACAGGGGAGCCACCTTGGCCCAACATTGTTCCTGCTATTCATCAACGACATCATGGATCAAATGCCCCCGGACATCATGATATTACTGTTTGCCGACGATATCAAAATTGCCAAAATCATCAAATCTCAGCAAGATTCGGAGATACTGCAACAAGCCATCGACAAACTCAAACATTGGTGTGATGTGAATCTGCTGCACCTTAACCTCGAAAAATGTGCAGTGCTATCTATCTACAAGAAACGTCAGCATTTGGATACAAGCTACACTTATGGCGACCACACCTTTGACAAAGTGACTGAACACAAGGACTTGGGTGTTCTAATTGACAGAAAACTATCATTTGCCAAACATATTGACATGGTCACTTCAAAGGCAACGGCTGCGCTTGGCTTTGTCAAACGCTTCTGCCACGATATCACTGACGTTACCACACTAAAGTCGCTTTATTTTGCATTGGTTCAATCTCACCTTGATTACTGCGCCATGGTATGGCTTCCATTCCACAAAATCCACAGCGACAAAATTGAATCCGTGCAACGCCAATTCACTATGTACGCTCGTCGAGAATACCCATCCGTACATAACCAATACTCAATCACACCGTACGAGCAGCGATTGTCAGAGTTAAACATGATTAGTCTTCGCCGTCGACGTGTCAACGCGTCATTGACTTTTTTCTACGACATCATCAACGGTAACGCTAACTGTCCAACGGTTAGTGACAAAGTCTCATTTAATCATGGGCGTTCATTGAGACACAGCGAACAATTCAAGGTCAATGACAAGCACATGAAGTTGGTGCGTGAAGCTCCAATTCCTCAAATGTGCAAAATGGCGAACATGGTGCCGGAACTTTTCACAGCAGCGACCTCCAAGAAAAATTTTGCATCATCGGTTCGCAAAATGACGGACACCACTTTTGGATCGCTATGCAAACTCAAATGACTACCTGCCCACCCAGTCAATTTTTCATCCAGGTAACCTCATTTTTTGTATATGTTCTCCACGAGAACACCTTGATACTGCCCACATTAATGATGAAATTGTGATTTTCATGTTGCCAACAAACCCGATCTATGATCCAAAGCGGACGAATTCATCAAGGACAAAGCATACTGCCCGGTTGCCATTTGGGTTGCTTCTGATTGCAACAAACATGAGCGGGGCTGTCCCAGGTTCCAACCACCCACGTGGAATTCAACTCATCTCACACGGATCACACAGCATAATCAATATTTAAAGACTGACGAATTTTTCCATACATTCTTTTATGTGTATTGAAAAGATGATACTTATCTGTGATGTTTACATTATTTATTGTAAATTTTTATTTTGATTTTGTGCTTTTTTGTAGCCACGAAGTTGACGAGTTAATATTCTTATCTTTCAAGTCAATTTTGAATTATTTACCATTTAGCATCAAATTATCTAGTTACGTTTCAAATCATGGTCCATGTCAACTCAATGCACTCTGCAATCAACATGGATCTGCCTTAACCGACGTAAAACTTCTCATCAATTTATCTATCGGATAAATTAAGTGACGACTTTTGCAGTCTCAAAGTCTAAATTCAACGCATAACAGTTAACGCTTCACATAGCCTTTGTCCCTTTGGAAACGTTTACCAAGGGTTATCCTTGACCGTTTACTATAGACTAATATCAAGCATTTCCATCTTGTTTGTATGACTGTTTTCGTTTTCATGTTCCTACTATTGTGAATACCGCATGATGTACGAAAAGAGCCAGGTTTTTAACGAGGCGAGAACTGATAGTTATCGAAACCTATTGCTACTAATTGTTTATTATTTTAAATATGTAACAGTCTTGCACTCTTTTCCGGCCAAACCTCAATCAGAACCCACATTATATTCAGCCAGAGCTTGGCGGTGTTTAATAAAATATAATATAAAATATAAAAATATAAATATAATTGAAAATACACCTCTTCTGAGTTCAATTGAAGTAAAGACAAATTCTCTTTTCTTCACTGTTTTAGCTTTTGATCAATTTGGGAAAATTCACAGCCCTATCATCAAAGGATTGGTTTCACCCATGGGTATGTAGTTTTTTTTTCATTACGTCAAAACAATACCTCAGTTTCTTATTTCATATTTACATTCCCAGCATTGAATGAACTTCAGCTCGAAAATCTCTCAGGGCAATTTAAAGGCATTCAAGGTCATAGTAATTCGTGTTATTTGGATGTGGTTCTGTTTGCAATGTTTGCATTTACCCATATGTTTGATGCATTACTAAACAGACAAGCTGAATCGGAAGATATTCCTGATTATGACGAAATACAAAACGTATTGCGAGAAGACATAGTGAATCCTCTACGTGTAAATCTTTTCGTCCGAGCTGATCGTGTTATGAAACTGAGGCGATTATTGCAACGATCCAGTTCAGTAAAAGGGTTAATGTCACATGAAAAAGATCCAGAAGAATTTGTCAACTTATTGGCGCAAATCATGCGAATCGAACCATTTTTAAAGGTATTTCCCATTTCAAAATTATTTTAGTTTATATTGTAAATAATTATTTACAATTATAATTTCTTTTCGATGATTTACAGTTCTGTTCAGGTGAAAATGCAGTTTTCCATCAAATATTCGTGAAGAAAAATAAAGATCTGAAATTTCCAACAGTTCAGCATTTGCTTGAAGAAAGTTTCAAAGAATCAAACCCCAAACTGGCGGACGTACCTTCGTGTTTGCTAATTCAATTGCCGCGCTCTGGACAAAAATTTAAATTATATCAACGAGTTCTACCGTCTCACACATTGGACCTGACTAATTTAATGGGTGATGTTCCAAAAATGTCCCAACACAAAGATGATGTCCCAAAAATGCACCTTTTTGCATTGGTGTGCTTCGACACTGCAAGGAAACACTTTGTTGCATTCGTAAAATCTGGTGTATTCGATGCACCATGGTGTTATTATGATTCAATGGCCGACATGACTGACAATTACAATATTCCGGAAATTGTATCCGTGCCAAATTTTATAGGCTTCCTATCTGAAAAAGGCTCGAAATTAACACCAGACATGACAAAACGCATATTGTGTGAATCTTACATATGCTTGTATCAAAGCGAAGGTAGAGGTGGGATATTCTCTTAAGTAGTTAAGTAGATGATATGAATATAAATATATACTGGAATAAATCAGAAATATATATTAATTTGGAATTTGTTTTTTTATATGCAGTTTACACCCAATAGGTGTG